CTTGCCTTGGTTTCTCGGCTCCACGTGTACTTACTATATGTCCCATTGAGACACCAGCTCTGGATCCAGACACTCAGTGGCCGTAAGTATATATTTTATTCCATCAAATAAACCTGGTTTTGGAGGATATGCCTCGTCTCGAGATCCCGGCCCCTGGTCTATCCTGCGGCAGGATGGAGTCCAAGCCCCAAACAACTTGCAATATCATATTATGCCTGTTATAATAAAGCATTGTTCAAATTTCAACAAGTCTCTCCCGATTGAAATGAAGCTTAGGCGAAAATTCAGTCAGGAAGACTGGACAGGCTGTGCCGTTCCCTGGTGGCCTCCTCTCTCCCTGGGGGTGCACGGCCAGCCGATTAGGGGCGGGGGCGGGTAGTATCAGACATGGGTGTCGTTACCGTAAACCAAGCGCATTGGTGCAGGCAAACGTTAAAAACTCTTCTCCTCTCTTTTGCTGTCAGTTGTCATTTCAGCACGCTCCAAAGGTGACCCGCCACCACCCCTGACACCTCTAATCTACAGCAGAACCCTGGCATATCAGGAGAGTTATGCAACTTGGGCTCTACCACCACCACCACCAGTGTCTGGACTCCCAAGGGGAGGATATACCTCGTCTCGGTTCGAGATCCCGGCCCCTGGTCTATCCTGCGGCAGGATGGAGTCCAAGCCCCAAACAACTTATCATACAATATCATATAATGCCTGTTATAGTAAAGCATTGTTCAAATTTCAACGAGTCCCTCCGGATCGAATTACTATTATATTTACTGTTACTGTTTATTGTTTTGCAGGGACAATGCACACCAATCAACAGTAAGTGAGCCAGAGTTACTCAGAGACACTAATTTTACTTTTTATTTGCACGTGTTTTGCACGTGTTTTGTGCGGTGGCAGATCATTCCATCATTCACATCTTGACTGCTTTGTTTACAGTTTTTCTCGATTGTTTACACACATTTTCTGAAAGAATGCCTCCTATTCTCAGAACTCTACACACAAATCAAAAAACACACACACACACAATGGGCAAAACCCCTCAATTCTCCTGCAAAATGACACTGATGTGGTCAATGTAAAACACTATGATGAATTGGAAAACACTTCTTCTACATTCATCATAATAACTTAGGCCTTATTTTTATCAGTGTTAGACTTCCTACGAACAGTACATACATAAGTGTAAAATATTTCAGAATATTGTTTTTATACTCAGAACACACAAATACGGTAACAAATATTATTTTATACCCCCAAAAAACAATGTAACAAGTGTACATCCCATTCCTAACCAACACAAAGTTGCACATACATTACATACAAAACAACAGAAGAATTGAATGTACACAGTTACAGTAAAAAAAAAAATGGCACCCTGTAGACCTGCTTTATCCTGAGATGATTTCTGCGCAAGACACGGCCCAGTGTTGATAAGCTTACCCTATCAGGATCAGGATCAGGAATCAGGAAACATTTATTAGCCAAAATATGTCAAACATACAAGGAATTTGTCTTGGCGGTTAGTGCGCGACAGTAGACAGACAAGACAACAGTGCACAAGTAATAAAATAAAGTGGGATGAAATGCTAATGCAATGTGTTCGAAGGATAAGGCTAAGGCTATGGGTTAGTATAAAACAAGGGAATAAAGTTAAAAAAATTTAAATATTAAAAAGTTATTTATTGCCCCGTGCATCTCTCTGAAAAGCAGAAGCATAAACTATATGCTTAAGACGCGCATACGCAATTATCCTGATTGACATCTGGTTCAAACTAACGAGACTTAACCACGTACGAGTTGAACCACGTACGAGGAGCAGGGCCCAGCCCCCTAGAATCAAGTTGTTTACAGAGTTCATCCTTTGGAGAGTTCAATGAGATCCATGGAGGATGAAGTAGTCTGATAAAAAACCTCCCACCGACTTTGACAGATCACTTTGCAGTCTGCGCGTTTGCTGGATCACACCAGAGCGTATCAAGGTCAGGTACTGAAGACTGAGAGACAATCTAGCGCTGCTTATGTCAGACTGATTTTATCCGTTATAATCTCACTGCATACATTATCAATGGATTATAGATTAAATGTGATTTATATAACTTTTGGTGGGCATGTGGAAGTGCACAAATATAGATATCTTTATTTTGTGATCATGTTTACGGTGTATATGTTAATAATTAGCAGTAATGTCACTATTGTGTGCATCATAATGATTCATAAAAACCTGCATGAGCCAATGTACATTTTCATTGGAGCTTTGTTAATCAACTCTGTTCTTTTCAGCACTGTTATCTACCCAAAGCTTTTGATTGACTTCTTATCAGAAAAACCGATCATATCTTATCCAGCATGTCTCTGCCAGTGGTTTTCATATAACTGGTTAGCCTCTTCAGATTTCTTTCTCTTGTCCATCATGGCCTATGACAGATATGTGTCTATATGTAACCCTCTGCAATATACAACATCATGCAAAAAACAACTGTTAACATTTTCCTGTTTTCCGCTTGGATTCTGCCTGCTTGTCTATTTTCAGTAATAACAATAATAAGTGCTATGACAGAAATCTGTCAGTTTCATTTGAAAGGAATACTTTGCAACAGCACAGTTCAAACACTTCACTGTGTGAGATCAAGAATAATGTATATATATATGGCTTGTTGATTTTGGTTACTTTTTTATTCCTCCCTTTGCTCTTCATACTCTACACATACTGCAGGATACTTGTAGTATCGTATCGATGTAGAGGAGTCAGGAGAAGAACTGCACAGACCTGTTTACCCCATCTGCTGGTTCTAATAAACTTTTCCTGTTTAGCTGCATATGATGTACTTCTTCCTCGACTAGAACTTGATTCTCCAAAAAATGTACGTTTTATTATGACTGTACAATTTGTAATATATAGCCCTCTTTTTAATCCAATCATTTATGGACTAAAAATTAGGAGAATTAATGATCACCTTAAGAAGCTCTTTACAATGTCAAAGTGTTTTCAGATGTGAAATTGATCAGATAACCACAGTGTAAACATCACAATGATTTTACGTTTACGGTCATGTCTACAATACACTTGTGGATATGACCTTTGTCTACAAGTGTATTGCTTAAAATCATAATAACCTATACTGAATACATATTGAATACATGTCAATATTTTAAACAAAAAAACATTAAAGCTGTAAGTATTATAAGTTATTGGTTCCTCTTTATTACTTCATCTGGAGTAACAGGCTGTCTCTTCGTCATGTGCATTTCAGGGTGACGTATCTCAATGAATAACACATCCCAGTAGATGCTGAATGTTAATATAATTTGCTAGTTACTTGATCCACATTTTATTTTTGACAACATGAAAGGATGATGAACATGTTATATGTCATTTTTGATTTTGGAAGTGCACAAATATAGATATCTTAATTGTTTTATATTTTATAATCATTTTTAAATACATACACCATTGTGTACCTTATGTGGATACACAAAAATCTCCACGAGCCTATGTGCATTTTAATTGTGGCCTCGCTACTGAGCTGTTTTCAGCAGTGCTTTTTACCCAAAGTAGTTTCACTGTATATCTAAAAATACAGATCAAATCATATTTAGCTTGTCTCCTTCAATTCTTTCTGTGCTAAATCTTAAGTGGTACAAAATTCTTTTATTAGCCATGTCTTACGAAAGGTAGGTGTAAGAAAAATGAATACTTGACACTGGTGTAAAATCATCAAAAACAGGACATTTAATGTTTGCAAAC